TTGTGCTTGATGTGTTATGTGAACTGAGATGAGTTGTGGGTTCCTAGAACCTACCCTCACTGAGTAATCCAAATTACTCACCCTCCTTCTTGCAGGTATGATCGAGGAGGTGCAGGAGTAGAAGTCGGGATGGTGCCATCTATTTTTGTTTCGTTTTAAAGGTTTTCACTACGTTTTCTTAAACTATTGTTACGTTATCGGGTTTTCATTGAACCTAGTTATTTGTAAGACGATTAAGATTGAAATAAAGGAAGTATTGGATAGAAGAAAAGTGTTGTTATGGTTAAAATAGGATCCTAGGGACAGGGTTGTTACAGTGTTGTTCTACTTGGTTGATATTTGATTATTCCGTTGACTTTTGTATATATCACCCAATACGTATACGTATTATTTTGTACAAAAAGTCAGATATCCATACTTACTTTTCCAAGTGGCAAGCTTTTACAATAATTAAAAATCTAAGTACAAAATCAAGTTACATAAACCAGTTGCCCTTACTTGAAAGTGACATTTTATAATAGCTGTTGTCTACAACGCTTCCTAACTTGATGGAAGAGATTGTACGGAACATGGTAATGACAAATCATATTTATTTTTTTAATTGAGATTTTAATTACGTGGAAGCACCGTAGCCTAGCCTAGTGGTTAAAGTTTAAAGGCTTCTAAACTAGATATTAGGTTCGAATCCCAAGGTATGCAGTTTCTACACCAAGAGGGTTTCAATTCCCAGAGAAGGTGAATGGCGAATTATGCAGATAGGAAAAAAAAACTTACAAGAGATCTTCAGCATGGCGCAAGGCGTACCGTCGAGAATGAATTTCATAGGACGGCTCAGAGTGATGCAGTCAGACGTGAATCCGCATAAGACAGGTAGAATTATCAGCTGTAATATTATCTATGTAATATTTTTTATAATTTGTAATGCATATTTATTCAGTATTAAAAAAAAAATTAAAAAATATCAATGCAAGTGTCATACTTGGTTTTCTTATAATCCGGATATTCTGACGGACGGACCGAAACCAACTAGACTAGTCTTCTGTCTTTTTTTTTTTTTTTTTGATCAATAGACTAGTCTTCTGTCTATCAACGCCAAACAAACCCGATTGTTTGCAATGGAAATTAGAGATTCATATCATCTAACCACACATTTTAGTGGTGTGGAGTTGATTCAAACTCGGTTCGCTTAGCTCACCAAAATTTATCTATCACCAAACCACCCATGTGTGGTTATGTCACACTTCGGGACAAATATGTATGTGGTGGCGTAAAGCAACTTACAATGTTTCTTTATTATTTTTAAAAATATTAAGTTTTAAAATGTTTTTATCTTTGTTTTTCAAGCTAATAAAAATTATATATAGTTCCTTTTTGGAACTTTTTTTAATTTTCAGAAAATGAGAGAAAACCATATATATATATATATATATATATATATATATATATATATATATATATATATATATATATATATATATATATATATATATATATATATATATATATATATATATATATATATATATATATATAT